ACCCATCTGTTCAGGGAAAGGGCTCTGTAGTTTATAATTCTGGTTTCTTTGATTACCTTGAACCTAGTACCATGTACATCGACGAGGGAGAGGGTTACATTATTTTCGCGTCACAATTACCCGATCATCAACGAGTCGTTGTTTTGGAGCTTGTGTGATTGCATACCCTTACACCGTAGAGGAGATTGCATGTACACTGTCGTGTGTTGCTCCCATAACAGATGTCCTTGAACCAGGGGTGTCCAGGCTCCGCCCGTAGGGCAATTATCGCAGTATGGAGATACTGCGGATGTTTCATGGCTGCAATGGATTTCGAGTTCGCTAGTTCATTGCGACGGGGGGTATGGACAGGAATCTGGTACGCATCTGTTGAGATATCCGAGACGGTGGAAGCAGTATCGTTGTTCAAAGGACTGAAATGCATGCTGGTAGTTGTTGGGATGCACGACCTTGCGAATTCGAACTGTGAGGCTCAATGCCAGTGTATTGGAACTGGGTGTGCGAGTAAGACTGAAAAGTTGAATTAGTTCGATCGCCCAGCTTGAGGGTGGTAAATACCAGGGACAAGCGATATCTGCTACGCATCCGGGTCAACACTCCCTGCACCCCGATTTACTAACTTGAAATTCAACGTTTCAAGTACCGTCGCACAAAACAACCCTAAAAAATGAATGTGAACTAGAGAGCAAGAACGCAAAACGCTGGAATTCTGTTCCACTCTGAGAGATGCATTCCAGCCATGCCTCAGTACCCGTTTGAAAAAGAACTACTTACGTGCAGAGCACCTGTGGCAGTGCCTCCAGCATCGCCACCCAAATCGCCGAATTACGAAAACGGCTTCAAATCGCCTCGACTCGATATCGACAGAATACCGCCAGAATCGCAGAAAATAGTCGGGGCAAGTAACAGCAGCGTCCATTCGGCGGAATCAAAGTCATTTCAGAGGTATGCTACAATATTAATGGTGTCAGAGTACAGGAATGCAGGGAACATACGTATTCAAATACGCAGGGTGTGTATCAAGAAGACATTGAAGTCTAGGGGAGGGAAGAGAGCTAGTGACGGGGGACGGAGACGGGGGATAGCAGTAGCAAGAAATGTAAGCAAGGTCCAAGAAAGCGATTGTACAGCAAAGTATCTTCTAGAAAGCGACATCAGCGGGGAGCAGATCACCGTTCGAAGAAGATCCGCCTCCGCGGCTTATCCTCTACGGGCGCGGGCACGGCATCCGCAGGAGGTGCGGACGGCCTGGTCAACTGCTCAAGGCCTGCGCGCCACGCCCGCTCTCTCCTTGATTCCGCCACCAGTAATGACGACGGAGCCTCCGGTGGCACTCCGATCCACGCATGCTCCTCCGCGCGCTGCCAGCGATTTGAATCCGCACGCACCAGCACCTCCCGCGTACGAGCGAGCAACCCCGGAGCCGCCGCGTCCGCGCGCTCAAGCGCCTCCTGCGCACGGACGAGGAGCGTGCGCGCAGTGCCCTCCACGCCGCCCTGGATCTCGCCGACGCGCGCGGTCATATCGCTGACGAGCCCGCTTACGCGGGCGAGGAGGGCGGTTTGTTGCTGCAGAAGGGTGCGGAGCTCCTCCGCCGTGGATGTGGCCGCAGGTGTGGGGCCGGATGAGGGAGTGGAAGCAGAGGCGTCGGGGGAGGTATTCGTGAGCGCAATCATCCGCGTTTGCATGGCAATCAGGCGCTCGCGTTCCGCCGCTATTGCGAGGCGCGTGGATACGACCAGGTCGGTGTGGGGATCGTCCGTGGCGTCGGTTGTCGCTGTAACATCGACGGTCGAGGTCGCGTCAGGCGAACTAGCACCGACACTGTCCTGCACAGTCCCCACCACACCGTCCCGCGCAGCGTGTACCGAAGACGACAGAGACTCGACCTGCCTGCGGACATCGGCAGCTGCAGCGTCAAGGACTGCAACGCGCGCTCCCAACGCGTCAAGCTCGGCATCTAACTCGTGTACGCGGTTGCCAGGAGAAGCGGCAGACCGGGGCACGAACGGCGACAGCGGCGGGATGAAAGGTGGCTGAGTGGTACCGCCGGCAGACACGTCAGGGCGTCTAAAACTGCCGCGCGCCCAGCTGTATCGCTGCTCGCCAATCTCCGTCCTCCCGTCGCTGGAATCGCTGGAGTCGCTTGAATTGGTGTCGACGCCGACGGCGGCGAACATTTCGCGCACCGCAGCATCGTGATCCGGATGACGCGGGCGTCGAACAGTAGGAGGAGGTGCGGGTACGTCCCGGTGCGTGCCGCCGGTATCTGCTGCCGGCGTCGACTCCGCGAGCAGGGAAGTCGAAGCCGAGGGATTGAAGTACCGCTCGACAGACCCCGGTCTGCGCAGAGTATGACGGCGGTGAGGCCGCGGGGGAGGTAGTGCTGCTGCTGCTGGGGATTCGGGAGGTGCACTGGGTAAGGCTGCGGTAGGCAACGGCGTGCGGGATGCACTGGAAGTACCGCCCGAAAGGGTCGACGCCCGGATACGTGCGCGGGCATCGATACGCGCCGAAATGGAGCTGGGGCTCGCGCTGGTAGTGAGCGGAGCCGACATCATGCTCGTCGATGTATTCCCGACTGTCGTGCTCCCACTGCTTGCAATCGTACTCGAAGCGCTCGAGCCACTCGCATCCGTACCGGCGCCGCTCGCCCCCGCCCCAGGTACGCGCTCGACAGGCGGCCGAAGGTGGGAGCGATACATCGCGTTTATGGATTCCATATATCCCGGAGGGGCGGGAGGGTGCGGCCGAGGGGTATCGTCATCCAGACCGGCCACCATGTCCAATGGACGACGCGGATTGTGTGGAGCAGAGGCTGAGGACTGTTCGCGCGGGGCGGACGTCGAGCTCGAAGATGGCGGAGGCATATTGAGAGAACGCCGAAAGGCGGGTGTACCACGAAGACGCCCGAACGCAGCCTGAGCTGCTGGGCTCGGGAGATACGCGGGGGACGACGGGAGCGGCGGTAGCGGAAGTAATGAGCCGGTGTGGGGTGGTTGTAACGATTGTGGCGAAGGAGGAAGTAGCGATTGACGCGACGGCGGGACGAGCGATGGCGGACCAAATGGGGATACTGCGGGCGACGAGGACGATGGTGCAAAGAGGCGCGGTGTCGGAGGCGCAGGTGGGGGGTTGGAGAAGCCCAATTCTGCAAATCTGGGGAGCCGGGGCGGTGTGAGCAGCTCGACCTCGGAACCGCTGCGAATACGATGGAGCAGGTTAGTGAGATGGCAGCGCAGGAAAGAAGACGACACGCACGACGGTGGGCTGGGCGGAATTTCCGATGGCACCCAGTCGTCCCAGCTTGGGAGGGGCGGAGGTACTACGGTATAGACCTCGGGTATCGGCGCCGCATCTGACTCGATTGGTGGCAGCGTGGACGGTGCGGCGGTCACGGCAGAGGTGAGGAAGACGAAGTCCTCGGGTGCTCTGTGCATGGCGTGTACACGGCAGTATGTGTTCATGGCGCCGAGTGGGTTACCGCTGGAGAATAAGACGTTAATAACTGATGTAGTGGAGGGTAAAAAAAAGAGGTGAGAATGATAAAAATCAAAGGATGGGGAGGATCCACGGGTGAGAATAGGTGGAAAGAATGCGTGCAGAAAGATGGATAGACGGAAATATAGTTGCATCAATGCAGCAACACGTGTATTTCGTCAAAAAAAACGGGGAAAGTAACGCGCGCACGAATCTCAAGAACGGAAACTGGGACCAAATGAAGCGTGGATGGAAAGAGGAGATTGGGGCAGGGAAGGAATTCACTTCGCCAAAACAGGAAAAACGCACCAAACTGCACACCCTAAGCCAATCGCTGCGCACCCACAAGGAGACGTTCCGCCATTTTGGAGACCCAGTGCCGTTTCAGCTTCAGATGTGAAGTAGACACTATCCAGAGGTATCACAGTCGGCTCGATACCATCCTTGGAGCCTATCCACGACTGACTTCGCCGCACCATGGCCACACCAGAGTGTACACGGGCGCCGCAACCGTTTGAACGCGATGCAAGGGATCGGATCCGCGGAGAGGGCGGATAAACATCCTCTGGTAGCATCTGAAGCTCCCCAGGACGATATTCGTCGTAATCGCACTCGAAAATTCCGCCAGACGAATCTGGCACGCCACAAGAAATAGTGAAAGATTCGTTCGTTTGAGACCGGAGAGCTACAGCAGGGCGACGTCGTGAGCGAGAGCTTTCTCCCGCGGATACAGCTAGACTTGGGCTGCTAGGGTCGGGAACAGGCGGCATTGTGTGGGTCGATGGAGGAGGAAAGAAAGTGGGCGTGTGGCTGTGTGTGGCTGTGTGTTGATTGGCACTGCCACCGTGTTGGCTTGCTCGGAACCCCCTTCATCGTTTCGCTCAGGACCCCTTCGCCTTTCAAAGTAAGTCAACTCGGAGCCTTCTATCCCAAATTTCTCCTCTATCCCACCCGGGATCGAGGAACCAACCCAGGCAACGGCTCTGAATCTTTTTGATGTTTTTCTCGGCCGGCTCACGATTCAGATTCGTAAACAGTATGGGGCGGAGTTTCCGGTCGAAGGATATCCCGACTCGGGTTTGAGACAGTTATCGTAGATTCATGTGCGGCTATATCTCACCAAAATCCCGGCAAGTGGCCTTCAGATACATATTCACGGTACGAGAATCAAAAACTCAAGGCGTACCAGATCTTACGTTCACTTCAGTCGATTTTCAACCCAATCTTCACTGGACCGATGAATTGAAACCACTCGAAGCCTCATGGCTGTACATTCCGCGAAGATTTCGCAACAAAAATCGGTTTTGTCACTATATATACCCCAGTTCGGTTTCGAACCAGGAACTTCGAATTACCGCAGCACCGAAATATGGGCGGAGGGAATTTGCGTACACCACTGGGTCTTTGCGACTCGTGTTCTGGACGAGTGCAGGTACGTACTGCTTAGAACAATGTTTCGTACCTGGACTCGTTCTTTAGACTCGTCTGAAGCGCTAATAAAAAATTCGTTGTCTCGTCAATGACCCGACCTGGGTTTGAACCAGGAACTCCCGCCTCAGAAGCACCACCATGCGTGTACGGAATGCAGGTGTGATGAACTTCACCATCGGGTCTTTATTCGGGTGAGTGCGAACAAGAAATACTGAAGCTCGAAATACCCATAGTCGGTGTCTAGCCAGCCGCGCATTTCAAGCCAACTGGCTGTCAGTGGTATTTGATCCTGGAAGGAAATTTGCATTTGACGAGGGCGCGCATCATACTTTTGTCCGTTTGACCTTCTCGCACAGAACTCTGCTTTTGTGTTACGACTCAATGCCAATGGTCGGAGCCACGGTATTGTTGCATTGTGCCATTCCTCGCTTTGAATGTAAGCACTTCTACATATTTTAAGCCATTCACCGATGGCAATGCGATGCTGGTGTGATAAGCTTCACCGTCGGGGCCACATTTTTGGTGACTGCCAGCGTTAAGCCGTGAAGTTGGAAATATCCATTCACGGTGTTCAGTCCCATTCACGGTGTTCAGTCATTCGTGTGTTTGACGCAGATATTATATGTAATTTGTAACGATACGCTTTGACAGTAACCTTCTGACACAGAAATCCACCATGCACCGAGGAGCAATAATGCCTCTGAACTCGTGATTCAGTTCCGAGCTCGGTTATACCTCACGGTTGCCACAGTGCAGTGTTTTCGCACTTAAACGGAACATTCACATAATTTCAGTCCAGAATTTTACATGTTATAGATCGCACAACGATACACTGTTGCTGTAATTCTGCGTTTTCAACTGCCTCGACTACCAAAGTATCAATCAACCACTGAAACATGCTCCGAAATTGAAGTCGAGTTTAACAGTGAAGTCGTCGCTGGCAATAAGACTCTTGCCGCCCTGATAAACATTCAAAAAATGAGATATGTACTGAATCAAAGAATAGCATTCCACTAACAAAATCACATTTATTCGTTACATCTGTGAATGCAGCTTTGCAGTTTGCGTTGTTGGGAATCGTGCCACTATCAGCAGTTTTGGTGTTCGCAACCGTGAATTGACCTGCATCCAGTGATCAGTGCCAGTTTGAATGAGCCAATGATGGTTTGAACCCACATTTACGACCAAGCCCGTCGCTGAGACTGAAACACCGCGCAGTCGTGTCCTTGGCGGCGATTTTCTGCGATTTATAAATGCACATCCAGCGTCCTAAAGGAAGTTGAACATACGTGGGCAACGAGGGAGGCTTGGGCAACAGAGTCGCAGAGTTGAGCGGTGAACGCGCTGCAATTACCGGCTCCAGATGAAATTGTACCACCGGGAGAGTTGCAGCTCGTGGTGAACTGGCCCAAGCATGCCGTCATGACCGAGAGAGCAGTAAATGCAAGGAGCTGTGGAAAGATTTAACGATCCAAGGCTTTAAGGTCGGTCATTCAACAGTCCACTCACAGTTGTTGACTTGAAGAACATGATCGCAGATGGCTGGAAAAAAATATTACATGGACGCGCTTTTTAAACCCGTCTCGGTACGGTAGTCGGGACTTGAGCGTCGTATTTGATTATGAAAAGATCCATGCACGTCGGCGAGGAGAAGCCAGAACCTGAAAGAAGCATTCCATCGTGCGGATCGAACAGGTTGACTTTTGAACGACACTGACATTATCTGGCGAGCCGAGGATAGTGGGCAGCACGAGTATGCGCCCCGTCCAGAAACCAGCTGCAAGAAAATTCGAAGAAAAATGGGGCCTCGTCGGGAGAGTGTAGGGTAAGATTAATTGTGTATTCTGCGCATATTTAACCCATATTTCACGAATCGAAGGAACTTTAACAAACGTAAAATTGGGCCATTGAGTCATTGTACCGGCTGTCAACGTCGGACCTCAAGGGCCACTGGTCAGCTGATGATGGCCCTGAACGGGGGAGAACCTGGGCAGGTCGTTGAGGGTCGCTGGCTCGAGAAGGCGATCCCATGAGGCGATATACCCGCCCAGATTGCAGCGGCGGAGGAGAGGAATTTTTGCGGGAGTTGAACATCGGATTCTTCGTATCCGCGATGCCGCGGCGATTGAGAGTATATACTAGAAGAATAGGACTCGGCTAACTCGAGATGATAGGACTCGGCTAAAATGCCAAATCAAGCGAGTCGCATCAGTGATAACATCATCGGCATCAGTCGGCATTCACTGGGGGAAGGCTCCCCCAGACCCCGCCGTGTTCGCTGGCGCTGGCCTCTTTCGCTGGCGCGAGGCCTTTTTCCGCTCGCGCGGGGCCCTCTTTACGTTCCTGATTTTTTACCGCTTGATCCCGCCCTTTTTGGATCAAATCTTCATCATATTATCGTTTTTAAACGTTTTTGAGTCAAAGGTTGCGGGCGCCGGCCCGGACGGCTGGGGTTTTCTACCCCAGACCCCGACCGCTGGCGCGGGGCCTCCACGCTCGCCGCTGGGGCCCGCTGCGCGGTGCTAGCGCTCGCCGCGAGGCCCACTGCGTGGTGCCGAGCACATCGCCGCGCGTTGATCTCAACTGATGGACTGATGGCCGGATCTCAGGCCGCCAGATCGAGTCCTATCTTTTCCGCCGCTTGGCGCTAATTGCCATACCAACGCTCTTTAGCCGAGTCCTATCATCCACGAGTCCTATTCTTCTCGTTGGTACTCGGCGATTGAGATATTGGTGTTCATGACAGTGTTCAATGACAAGAAGATCAAGTTTTGAGTCCATGCAATGGACGAACGTGAGAATCGGAATGCGTTGACCGAGGAATTGAAACGCTCTTCAGAGCCCGTTTCGAAAAGGGCCGCCCAGTGTTTTGGTTTTTCCGGACGTTTCACCGCCTTTTCTTGGGCGGTAGGACTCCCGATTTGGACGGCGGATCGATGTCACTCCGACTTTACCCGGCCGCGGCGGCATGCTGTGATTCCCGGAGCGCCCCGGAGTCTCGCTTGATGATCTGTCGCTTGCGGTTTCCTTTAACTTCTACATCTGTCCTCATAGCTGTTGAAGACACAGCAATAACAGCATTTCCGAACCTACCTACCTACCTACCGAGCTCACGGTCAGCTTTTACAGCTTTTCTGCGCCTCTTTCTCTAATATTATTGGCCCGTCGATTGTGGCAGGTGAAGCTTACCACAGAACGACACGGGGGCACGATCGGGCTTCGGGAATCTCTGTGTTCGGTACCGAGGACTTGGCGAACAACGCGGTTCGAAGTTTTCCCTCACCTTAATCGTTCTCTGAAAATTCCGTGTCAAATCTGGAGACAGAGGTTTAACTCTCAATATTTCTTGTCATCTCTTGTCTTCCTTGCCAACATCGACCAAAATCCAGACACCGTCGGAAGCGATGCCGAATATCATCGATGCGACAGCCGAAATCTCCCGCATCTTAGCTCCACATCTTTCAAGATCTTCACATTGGTCACTATGAGTCATTCTGGAAATCCGTGGTATGGTATATAAGCTCCACTGTGTCAAGGGCAGCAAGATACCTCTCCTCCAACACGGCGCTTTCCAACCGATTCATCTTGTTCGGCCTGCCTTTCTTTTTGAGTCTCCTTTTAGGCGCGATTCAATCTGAAGGGAGTCAAGTCTGATTCTACGATCCTCTCTCCAAGCTATGACTCCAATTGGGTGTCTGGCTCCGCACTCTCCCGATGTTCGACTTCGACACTCTCGCCCATACCCCTTCCCTTCAATCCGTGATCCTTTTCTTGGCCGCTGCATCCTTCTCGGTCGTCCCAAGTCGGATCTTGCATTACACCGGGCTCGCCGTGATCTCCTCGTCAATCCTGCTCTATGCCGTCCGCTATAATGCTCCATCCAACCGCTTGTCCCGACTGAATGAGCATCTATTGACTGCGGCTGAGATACTCGCACGCGCTAGACTTGAATGCACCTGGGATTATATCGAGCTTGGCGCCGAAGAAACTCGCTTCCTTCGGTATGTTGTAACACTCTCAGTTATACATTCGGAACGGGATAATAAAACGAATCCAGGGCTAAGTTTGCCGCGTCGAAGATACAATCCCTGTTGTTCGAAGCACGGGTAGCGCCCTGGAAGATTTATCTCCAGAAGCTCAGAGCGGTCATCCACTGCCTTCACCAGTGCGAACGCGAGGTTCGTGCGGTTCAAACTGCCACATTGGTGAGAGATCCACAGCGTGCTTGCGTCTATTTTATGGTCTAATCTGAACCCATCGTAGCTCATCATTGAATCCGAGAATCAGCGTAAGTTGGTCCGCGCAATCAAGGAAAGCCGAAAGATGACGAATGCGGTGGCTCACTCACCAGGTAATTCTTCAATCAGTCCTATGCAGCGAACTTACTGATACAGGCTATTTTGAGGGAGAACGGGATGGGGCCAACAGTTGCGCGGCTATGAAACTAAGCAGAGTACGGACATCTACACGTCCGAACTTTGGGCGAACGTTGTTTCACAGCGGGTATAATACCATTTCCATATCCGCCCGCGGAACAACTTCGATGGCCCGCAACCTTGTCGACCAGGCTACATAAACATCTTAGCTTTTCTCGTCGTCTTGAACTATTTCAAGTCAAATTATGCAAAACCATCGAAGTCACCAGAAAAATCCATACTGCAGACTTCGTGAGTTCCACGCCATTTCTTTCACTGAGCACTTGCCACTGGCTCTACATACTAGCCGGGCTCTTGCTTCTCGGGTTGTTATCCCACTCTACACTGCCCTGAGCAGCGGTGCACAGGATTCGAAAAGCTGTGCCACGGAACACCGCACAGGATACATCGTATATATTTCTACCCAGACCGTCGTTTGAAATTTCAATCCCCCACCATGGCATCTGAGGATGGCTTGGCTTGGTACACCCTCGCCGCACCCAAATCCCCCGATGTATTCGAACCATCCATGGAGGATCTGTTAGCTGCGCGTGATGTGCTGCTCAGGCTCTGTCCAGTGGAACTGGTGTACTTGATTTTCGACCTGGCGGCCTACTGGGGTTGCGTCAAGTCTACTCAGACGGATCTCTTGAGGCTGTCCGCCTCCGAGTCGCCCGGTCACGACGGAGTTCATTGTTATATCGTAACGGCTCCCATTTTGGAGACGAGACCTGCCGAGGATGTACATCTGAAGCTCATGAGTGTAA